ATGAAAACTAATAAGAAAGAAATCCTGAGCTGCAGGAATGCAGTATTTGGTGATCTGTGATCACTTCTTTTCCAATTCATTTCTATGGGAGCCAGGGCTTTGTGGAGCCAGCAGCTAGCAGACGTAAGTTTTTGACACTTCCGGGTTGGCTTCATTTTTCAGGGCCGGTTGCTACGTCCATCTTTTATACAGTCTATGCTTCGTACCGTACTTCTGCGTAACTTCATTCCCAACTACGGGTACCTGGAAGGCACAAAAGCCCCATATACTACAACTTTCTCCATGAGTTGATGCAGAAAAGGTGCAACATGGTGCATAAAAACTCAACAGAATGAAAGAAATCCAGTGTTTGATGCTCAAAGACCCTCTCCTTCATGACACCTACACCCAGGCATAGATGTGAGGGTTTAGAACATACCATGAATGCAGATGTGCAGCAGAAAACGTGTTCAGGCCACTTGAATCAAGCCCTTTTGATGCCTTTTTTTTTGCAGTAAAACTGGCTTCTCATTACAATTTACAGTAACTGTTGTGACTACACTCAGTACAAAAGCCTCAGCCTCCAACGTCACCTCTCAGGCCAACAGGTGCATCGATCTTCAGCTATGCTGGTGCCTTTTAAGTCAGGTTTTAGGTAAAGCACTCGCGCTCGCATTGAGAAGAAAGGTGCTTCCATCAAAATGAAAGTCTTTCACATTATGAATAATGCAGACAAAGACTCTCAACTTTCTGAACATCACATGCTCCTACTTCAGACGTACCTGCTCCGATCCCGGCGCCGGCCATCTTCCCCTCCAGCTCCGTGAGAGAGGAGTCCTGCAGAGACGACTGCAGCGACGACTCCTTTGAACTCTCCTCGTCTGTCCCCAAGTGGTTCTCGTCCTGCTCGGGCATGTCCGGAGCGCTCGGAGTGGTGGGAATATCCTCCGGTGGGAACGCTCCTACCGGAGAGCGCAGGCCCACGGGGCTGTCGGTCTGCGGCGTCTGGCGGTCGGTGCTGCCGTTCGTGGAGGAGTGGACCGACGTGGGAAGAAGCAGGACGTTTGGCTTCTTGGGGACTGGAGGTGGAACCTGGAGAGGAATGAGAAAGGTTCAGTAACTGAGGGACACGAGCAGAAATACTTGAGATAAAGACACAAAAAATCAGGATTCGTTTTCTGTTTTTATCATCACTTAAATGTACACTTCACATTTCTTGTAGATGATCGTTTGAAAAGTTAACGCACACTTTTGTATGTTTTTTTGCAACATAAAAACATAAAATCAAGTCACTTCATTGCGCAGCGGTCGGTGTTAGCGAGTCGGAGCAGCTGTGATTCATAAAGTTGGTCCGTCTGTGAATTACTTTGCATTTCACAATTACTCATCCTGATGAATGACGGTGTTTGTGCAGCCTGCACAGCCACAGAGCTGCTCTCAGGTGTGCTGTGTGCAGGTGAGGAGACTTCGCTGCTGCAACAAAAAGCGTGCTCTGAGCTCATTATATGCAGGAGGATTGTGTTCCCAGAGATATGAAGGAGATCTGGATGTGACGTCTAAACCAGGACGCGTGAGGACGTTTTCAGGTGCAGGTCATCAGATTCAGCTCAACAAAAAAGTGAAACTGCGTACCGTAATTCTTTTCTTTTATGTTTGCAAACTTCCTTTCAGCTCTCTACCACCCCCGTCTGTCTTTGTTAATGTTAGACAGAGTGAGATACGACTGATTCCAGTTTCTGCTCTGCGTCCGTCCCAATAGTATTAAATGTTTCACTGCGCCGAGATGTTGGCTAACGTTATCAAACGTTCATCACTTATCAGGACACCTGTCCAAATTAATTCTTGCTAATGGCTGTAATTTCTTCTAATCCTCATCAGCTCCTGGTCTCTGTGACACCCACAGGCTCAGAATTAGAAAGCCGTGGTCCATGTGAATATAGATTTCCTTATTAGTGTCAGAACTACTGTTGGGATCCATATTTCTTAATGTTAAACTAAATGTAGCTTGGCTGCTCTCCCATTTGTGATGTTACAACCAAGTGGTGTTTGTTGAGCTGGGTATAAAACTTTTAAATGTTATTTTATTGTGTATATCTGCTTCATTTTTCCGACTGGAGTTGCTCTTTAACCCTCTGAACTCCAAAACTCATCAGCAGGTTGGAAACTCAACTGAATCCAAGCTTAAAATCACTTTATTCTACATGTCTTGTTAAAAAAAATTGCCATAAATAAGCAGTTTGCAGGAACCAGATTTCGTCAAAAAACAAAAAATTCTATGCTCCTCAGTGCAACTGTCAAGCCGTTACTGATTCAGATGCGATCGACAGTCATGTGACAAAAATTCAGGGACTTTATTGGTTGAGCTGGGCTGAACTGCAGGCTGTGTTTACCCAGAGCAGAGAGGAGACGAGCACAGAAACAAATTAAATATGTAAGCAGTGAAATATCTATCACATGAAGAGTCACTGTTCTTTCCCCAAATATTGTAAAGGCCCGGGGGCACTTGGTGAGATGGTGTACATGTTCATTTCTGGTATTTCTGTTTCTGTAAGAGGTGCAACACTTCATATTTTAAATGTGACAAAAGCAAAGAAACACCTTGAAACTTGCAGTTCAGTGTCAATGACATGTAACGACAAGGACACGCCTAAAAGAAAGCCTTTTCTGAGAGGTATCGTCCTCACCTTGGGTTTCTTTTTGTCTGACAGCTCTGCCAGGCAGGAGATTGTCATCCTTGAGGGGAGGGTCTTGCTCTTGTCCTGGAGCTCCGGAGCCTCCTGGCTGCTGCAGGGAGAAGGCAGGGAGCCTCCGTCCTCAGGCCCAAGACGGATCTCTGCGTCGACGTCGAATTCAGGCTCCAGCACCGGGTCTTCCAGGAGAGGCTGGGGGTCCGGGAGAGGAGGGAGGTCGAAGAGGGACTGGGAGTGGGGGAGGAACGGGTGGTCGTATGCAGTCTGTGGGGCAGAGTTTAGTTCTGGGAGAACGGCCGGGTTCGTTGGAGCTTGCGGTGGAGGTTTTTTGGGTTTCGGCTTTTTCATGACTTTGTAGATGTTGCCTAAAGGCACCGGCCGGTCCACAGGTGAGGCAGGGGGAGACTCGAGGGCGTGGGGGGAGGTGGAGGAGGGAGAGGGGGACTTGAGGAGGAGGTTTATGGGCCGTTTGGGCAGAGGAGGCTTGACGGCAACAGGCGGTTTGGGTTTTGGTAGAGTGGGAGGTGGGCTGGGGTTGTCGCCAAGGTCTCGGCCGTGCTGTTCTTCTTCGATGGTGTCAGAGGCTCCGTCAGGACAGTCCTCCAGGTCGCCACGAGAAACCGAGCGGAGCCGAACAGTCTTCAGCTCGTTCTGGGTAACCATAGGCAACGCCTGCGACGAACTGGGACTGATTTTTCCCGGCTTCGCTGCCGTTGAGGTGTCAGAGTGCCGCCTGCTGGCCTTTTGCTTTGGCTTGATTGAAGACAGCTCCAGATGTGCATTCCCGGGCATTTCAAAGGACAACCTCGACCTCGCCGCCGGGTCCTTGGGTGATGGTAGCGATGATTTCCTCTCTGGGATCTTGGGACGCATCTTACACCCGGTCGTCCCGACTGTGCCGGCCACCTGACTGAGAGGAACGGTTGGGGTGGGAGTCTCGGACTGACTGGAGTAGCCACTAGACGGGGACATGAGTCCTGGAGGTTTGAAGGGTGACGACGCCTTGATGTCGGTCTCCATGGAGAGCTGCGAGGGCGACGTGGCTCTGGAGGTGGAGGGAGAGTCGAGAAGGGACTCGGAGCTTCCTCTGACCTTCATACATTCAATCACCGTGGTACCTGTTGCTGTGCTGGAGCCAGACAGAGACCTGGGGAAGAGAAGAAGAAGAGATGAAACCTCACTGCATTTACTTTTATGCCAAACTTGTACAGACAACTCAGTCGAGCCAACAAGCCCCAGACATCCCCGTGTCTACCTGTAGGGGTCATTGCTCTTCCACTCCCCCAGCTGCCAGTGAGTGGGGAAGGTCATCTCTGTCTCTGCCTCCCTGTCTGGCGCCTGGACCTCCAGACTCGGAGGTCCGTCATTCCCTCCGTGGCCCAGCTCCCGCTCAACAACGCTGGGTTTAGATGACGAGCTGGGCAGAAGGAAATCTGGCTGGAAGTCTGGGAAGTGGTCCCTGGGGATGTGCAGGCTCTTCGGCCGGCCATCTCGGTAAAGACTGCCCTCGTGGTGGATTCTCCCCTCGGCTTCTCCGAGGTTTTTCATGAGGGAGACGCTCCTCACAGGAGGCGGCGGCTTGCGCTTGGATTTCTTGAGCGAGATGGAGCGGGAGCGCAGGCGCAAACGCCCCTCCGTGCTGTAGTCTGAGGCTGTGACGGAGATGGTGTCGGCGGTGCTGGTGCTGTCCTCGGAGCTGCCTCTCGGGTATAAGAGGGCGTAGTTCTCACCCAGACCCAGAAAGTTGTGGTGCTCCTGGTGGTGGTTTGCTGCCATCGTGTTTCCGTTCCCTGCAGATGTGATGTGACCGTCCGTCTGGCCGATGACGCCCTCCGCAAAGCAGAAGGAGCCAGAATCTGTGGGCGTGGAAAGGGAACGCTCCCGGAACTTGAAGGCGTTCTGAGCTGCTAAAGAACGTGCCGACCTCTCCCGGCCTCTCCCCACCTCCCCGACTCCCCCGCCTCCTCCCCTCCCTCCGTCGGCTGCAGCTCCTTCTGTCTCGCTCCGCTTCCCCATCATCGCCGCCGCCAGCGAAATCCCTGGCACGTTGTTCCCCGTCCTCCCGGAGGGGTCCGTCACCGACGTGAAGGAGCTGGAGTGCGAGCTCACCGACTGTCCCGAGCCCACCAGCATCACCCCGTCCTGCGTCCCGCCTCCCGAGCCACCGATGATGGTGTGCTGCTTGGGCGGGACCGCTGGGCCTTTGTTCATGCTGTAATTGTAAGGCTCGTTCCACGCTCCGGGAGAAAAGGTGGAGCCCTTGGGTCCGTTCCAGGAGGCGGAGGGCGTGTTTGAGCACAGCAGCCCAGAGTGGTCCATAGTTCCTGGGTGGAGATGGTCCGGGGCCCGCTGCCCCAAACTGTTATCTGTGGAGGAGAAGAGGAAGGAGAATTAACACGACGGAAACAATTAGATCCAAAATGGACTGACAGTGAGCAGTAAAGGAGAACAGCTCCTGTCTGTCTCTAGTTCATATCCAAAAAGTGAACTTTGGAAACGTTCAAAAAATAAAAAATATGAATCAGGTTTGTTTATATTAACTGGTTTGAAGTCAATAAATGAGGCTGCATGGTGTTGAGAAGTTAAAAAAAAGAGAAATTGAGAGAGAAATCTTCAGGAGTTACTAAAAATGCATTAAAGCTGTAATTATTCTTTCATGTCAGCTGGTATCGGACAGGCATCACGCTGCTCAGAGAGTCGAACACAATGAAATAAACAGCTGATAAATTATGTAAATTAAATGTTGTCAGAGCTTATTCAGAAAATGTGTTTCCATCTTGTGAAGCACAAAACTCCTCAAAGCATAAAAACCTTTTTCCATTAACGTCCTCTAATGCACAGCCACAGCTTCGTTAATGGATCTTGTGTAAAGAAGTTCAGGAAGTCTGAGGTGCATTAGACGCTGTGCTGCTTCGCAACACGACAGAACATCTCGTCTGCAATGAATCTAGTTTCATCATCAGATTATAAAATAACTGCATCACGGCGGCGGAGCAAACGTAACTAATTTTCCGTCCTATCCCAAAGCCGCTGTTTAAAACGTCAGATGTGTGACGCGTTCACGAGCTCTGCTTTTTCTCATCTGCCACCAATTAAGGCCTCATTAACTGTTTACATGAAGCCTCCAAACTGATTGTTGTTAAAAATAAACCAATTAGGCTTGAAAAGATCCTGACTGCTGCCAACGCTGTCCTTCACTGGGAGAGAAGGAATGATTAACCCGACATTAATCTCTGAGCTTCTTTAGACTAAAGACTTGGCTGGTGGAAAGCAGAAAGAGAAATGATTAACATGCTTTCCTGACACAGTGACCTCATTTGAAGTCAAACAGGTTTGTAAGCAGCTAATCTAACGTCGCTAAAAGAAATGATCTTGTGTTTTTACGCCATCTGAAGCATCGTTCCTGTCTTATTCCAAGCTTTTCAAAGAAATAGGAACAATAAAATGAGCTTGTGAAGTAAAATTAAAGCCAAAAAAAAAGCTCAAGAACGATTCCCGCTGACTTCAGAGGAGTTAATGAGTGGAGGAACTTCACTCTCAAACAACCCCATCCTTTCATTCCCATCTTTTGTGTCTTTGTCTGAAGGCCGTGAACACACCTGTAGGTAAGGTTGTGTCGAGGTCAGAGTGCGTCTTCCTCAGCGGCAGGGCCTGGTGGGGGGTGTCGGTGACGGGCTCCAGGGAGTGGGGCTGGTGGGGGAAGGGGTCCCCAGGAAAGGGGGAAGGGGACGGGGAGTGCTGGAGGAGGTCGACGCCGTGGAATTTCACTCCTCCCCCTTCACCTGGAGGAGAGACAGGGAGCAGGGAGGTCAGCAGCAGGAAGCTCGTTCACCGTGAATCCAATTAGGTGGTGGAGATAAAGCAGTAGATCCTGACTGAGAACGTTTTGATTCTGCAAACGTCGTCTGATTCGGAATCTTTTAAGTCGGTTAGGACAAACATGATTTACTGCTTTTGTTGAACTCAGCATATTTATATAAATGCATTTGTCCTGACAGACAGTCTAACATGGCGGTGCATTTGCATTTAAATAACATGCACAGAAGTCACATCTGGGATAAGGGCTTCTGTTTTCTTCCTTTTACCTTAACAGATAAACAAACTTGCAAAAGCCCTATTTGTTGGATAATCTAAAACAAAACTTGTCCACAACATTTAAATTCTTTTTTTTAAAGCAGGTATGACAAATTCTCTAAAAATACCCAGAGGCACGGTCAGCAAAGCAAACACAGGCCTGGCGTGGAAAAATAACTTCCTTTAGTATAAAAGTTCTGGTGATAATTTCAGCCAAACGCGCATTTCTACAATTTGTAAGCAGCTAAGTCGTGACAAACTCCATTCAAGCTGCTGTCATTACAATTCAACATCTCCTGCAGATTGTAAAAAGCAGCACGTTGCTTCATCTCTGTGGTTGAAATCAGGAACACTGGCCACCAGGAAATAAAGATAATTAGTGTTTACTCTAAAATTCAACGGGTGAGACACATTTATAATTTGAATAATACGATGCTGAAGACATTACGCTTCACCGTTTCTTGAGGCAACGTTGCTCAAAGTCGCCTCAAGTTTGTTGAGATTTTGCGAACACTTGGAGTTCTCCTGAGCCAAACAAAGTCAAGATTGAACAGCCTCAGCTTCATATTTTCATATAATCCTTCATGTTTACGTTTCACATCCTGATCCAAGGCGACTTACGGCAGATGCTACCCAGAAACCTGCTGCTCTCCGTCCTCTCGTCTGTGCAGACGTGGATCCAGTGAGTCACCGGAGGCAGCAGGTTCCTACTTGATTATCTCAATGACATGCAGCGCCGTTTCTCTCCCATCTGCATAACTCAGTCAGCCTCCTATTAAGCCATCAGCCTTGTTTTATGGCAACAGTCACATTGGATGCAGTCTGCTGCTAAAATTTATGTCCTACAACAGAACGGCGCTGCTCCGTCTTGTGGGAGTGGGAGGCGGAAAAATAAAAAAATCAATGAGTCAAAACAGCAAAATGAATAAAATGAAGCCGAATCGATGAAGAAGTGGATCGGCGTTGCACGAGCAGCGCCAAAACAAACCGAGTTAAAGGAACAATGCGGCGTTTAGCGGAATACAAATCTGCTGCTTTGCTTCCTCGTGAGTGAAGCAAATTCGATAACTGTGAGTTTTGCAGACTTTAAATCGATGTGACGATGGATGGAAAGTGTAGAAACATGAAGTCTCCAAAAACGCAGACGTTCAACATCTGCCTGCAGCTGCTAACTTGTTGCCTCTTTGCAGGTTTGCGGATGATTCGACCTCCTTCCATTTCGTTTCTGCGTCTCTTTTGCACATTTGAGAAATGAACAAGCAGCTGAGCAACCAAAGAGTGTTAACGGACAAAATATCTAAAGAACGTCAAAAAGTTCAGATTAATTAAACAGTTCTCGCTGCGTTTCCAGAACAAAACTCAGGGAGAAGCAAGAAACGTTGAGCTTCTGCGGTTCAACACATCATTAAGACAAACGAAGCCGTCTGGAGGTCTTCTTCTCTGCAAATCACCAAACTAATGATGGAAACGGGAGGATGGCGACACTTCAGCTGGTGATGGGCTTTTACAGAAAACGAATTTTGGAAATCTCACGCCGTGGCTACGTGATCATTAAATCAGTGAAGCATCGACGACCTATCAACCCTGGCTGAGTGATCAGGATCATTTGGTTTCATCTGGATTGTTTCTGTCTCTCTTTGGGGATGTTTCTCTGCTTCACTCGTGGACTGAGGCGGCTGTTTGTCTTCTCGCCAACAGTCTGCTCACTTCACTCATTTGTCTTGTGTCTATTTTTCCAACAATCTGTCTACTTAGCTCATTCCCCGAGTGCCATCCAACGGCTATTCCCTCCTGTGCACGGATAAATAAAAGTCCAGCAGAGACGAAGCTATGACTCAGCCACTGAGCGGAGCTAAATACGACTTCCTATCCGGCTGTCACGCATTCACCTACTTCCCGCTGCTCTGTCTGCCTCTTTAATTCTGATGTAATTCTGCATCCTCCAGTCTTTGGGCTGCAAACACGTAGCACACACACGAGTGCCTGCCCGTCTTTCAGAGCTCCAAATCAGCCTCACCGAGCCATAAATAACGTTACTTCAACCGTCCGACTTCACCAGACTGAAAAGGCGACGAGTCGTTCGTCATAATGTGCCTCCAGCACGGCCACGGTGTCACCGGACTCCTGCTCGCTTTCAGACAGATGCTGTTAGAGACCCAGTTCTGGAGCACATGGTCCAGCTTTAACACCCCAAACGACAGTAAAACAGCGACGGTACACGTAGCTGCTCCGCGTTTTGAAATAACTGGACTTTCAGGGAGCTTTAAAAACAGGACAGCAGCATCAAAGCGCTTCTCACCGAACGAGGAGGCGACTCAGACAGCTGCCAAATTTATGTTTGGTAGGATTTAGACTTTTTTTTTTTTAAGGACACAGTCTATAAACTTTCTGGCGCCTCATACGTAAGGGAAGGTGCTCACATTTCTGACAGAACCAGCAAGGACACGAGAAAGTGAGGCATGAGTTAGGAGTGTCCTCACAGGTCTGTCTCCAGAGGGACAATGGTGGGAAACCGAAGATTGACGACTAAGAAAATGTTGAATTAAAGTTTTTAGGAAGCGTGTCCCTGAATAAACCAACTTTTCTCTTCCAGCTGCTGAAGCTGATTGTCCCGACAATTTATTTTCTCACCATTTTGTCTGTTTTGTTGAAGCTACATTTTGCATTTAACAGCTACGAAGGACAGAACTTTAGCTGCAACGCTCACTCTGGAGCCAACTTGTGCTCTTTGTTTGATCCAATTAGCCATCCGGGTTGCGGCCCGGCAAACGGATCCGTTCGCCACAAAGGGGACAATGCGGAGCCAAGGGGATTTGCTGCAGTTCTGAAAAGTTCCACCTCCTGTCAGGTTCCTGGTAGACGGAGCTGCAGGTAAGCCGAGAGGATCAGAGCGGCTGCAGCGCGAATGCTTATCTGTCTCTGCTCAACTCCACATCCACACACAAGCCTCCGACTCGCTGCGCAACACATTCAGAGCTGCATTCAAAAAATGGCTATTTAAGGCTCTGAGGTTCTTTTTTCTTTTTTCGTGTGAAGGCGGCACAAAAAACTGACATAGCGATATTTTGTTTATATATATATATACGTACTGGGATATGAACAGATGCAGGAATTTCCCCCCCAGATAAAAACTATACTGACAGAAGGAACCATCCTCGAATGATGAATCTGTGGTGAGTTCATCTACGTGGAAAAGGAACAACATTGAAGCGAAACTGTTTTTTTTTCTTGTGTGCTTTGGATAGCATAAAGATGTGGCTTTGCACTTGTCACACAGAGCTTTGTGGTGCTCAGCGAAAAGGTCGAACAAATTAGATGTGTTGCTCATGTGGTGTGCAAAAGCTGCAAGACTCAGAGAACCTGTTCTTGGTTAAATATTCCCATACAGCTGATTGGGGCTGCACGATTATGGCGAAAGCGATCATCATTTCAAACAAATTTTAGGATTATTTATTGATTTTAGAGACATAATTTTTTTTTGCACTTGCACATTTAAATAAACAAAACACTATACTCATACTAATGTACTAACCAGAGCATCTCAGTATAAGAAAAATAAAAGTAAATCCTCTCCAACAGCTCCAGCAAAACAAATATTAGTTTGAAAGAGTGAAATAGTGATTTTGTTCAATGTTCTCAATGGGCAGAACATTTTAAATGCTATAAATATTATATATTTAGTTCTGTGTTTCTCTCCTGTTTGTTCCTGACTCATTTCGCTGCACACATCGAATCAGTGTAAATGATCTTCTATCTACGATCTTCTATCAGTCGTGGAAAATGAGAACTATGTAAATCTTCTTTTGGCATCAAGCAGCAAAAAAAAAAAAAAGTCACATCAATCTTCCTGCAGTGTGACTGTTGTAGATGCTACATGACATACTGTACAGCACTAGTAAACAGCATTATTTTACTGTTTTTGCAGAATTAAATAAAAAAATCCTCAACGGTTCAGAGATGCTAATTTATTTAAAGGGACATTCTGACGACAGCTTCGAGGTCCAGGCGACACCCTGACCAGATGAAAGTCTGAACGCGTTAAGAAGCCGAGCAAAACGTTTGCACGCCGCCTGCCTCGCCGTCATTTAGTCTGTTTAGAGTAAGAAACGAGCTGCCGGTGCACAGGCTTCGTCCTTCGCAATGTCACTTTGTGCTTGTGTTTCAGTTTACAGCCAAGAAACCTGTTAGGAGACACAATTTCCTCACTTGGTGCGACTCAGGATTCCAGTAAGAGCTCCTGAATACGACACACCTGTGACGCTCAAAATAAAACCGATGGAACTAATCAAGACAAACTGAATGCTGTCTGTCTGTCTGTCTGTCTGTCTGTCTGTCTGTCTGTCTGTCAGCCTGCTCTGCATTCACATCCTTCGCCGGCTAAAGCACTTCAAGTCATTCATGAAAATTGCTGGAGCGAGATGTGCAGGATGGGAGAGACCGAGGAGGGAAAGCGGGAGGAGGAGGAGGAGGAGGAGCTGTGACAAAACGCTCCCTCGCTCTCCTCCATTCACCGCCTCCTTCACCGTGTCTCCCTCCGTCATCGCTTCACCTCCGTCGCTCCCTCCTTCCTCTTTCACTCGCTTCCTCTCCGATTCTTTTGCTGCCGTAAATTTTTCTTTTTATTTATTTATTTTTTCGGTTGCAGGAGAAGGAGGAGGAGGAGGAGGAGGAAGAGTGGCGAGTTACCATGGCAACAGGAAGCTGGCTGCAAGCTACCTGTTCGCTGGTTTACAGAGAAAGAAAGAAAGAAAGAAAGAGAGGGATGAGAGATGAGAGAGCGGGTGTCACGGTAACAAGTTGAATAAGTCTGGAGATATTTTATGTTTTTTTTTTTTTATTTCCAGCAAAACTAATAATGATTCAAAAAACAAGTCCAGAACCTGTTTTATCTTTTTCCTTTCTGCTACCGAGCTCCATCTTCATCTAAAAACATCACATTTATTGCTATTAACGAGGCCTCAGCGGTTCATGTGGCTCAAACACACCCTCCGAACACCAGCTGTATATTCATCCACCGCTAAAAATAGTCCCAAACAGGCAGGATGTTTACTCCTGATTGGGTAATGATGGATAAAATCGACCTGTGTAAATGTGTTTTAACCTCTTTACTGACAACAAGGAGCACAGAACAATCCTCTCCTCTCTCTGTTTCCATCTCTGAAGAAAGTGAGAAGTGCGACGTCACAGGCGGCATCGCTACACCTGACCTTCTCCTCCTCTACACGGCGGGTGAGGAGGGCGAGGGAGTGAGAGGGGAGGAGAAGGAGGCAGAGGGATATTCAACTATAGATGGAGAAGGAGGGGAGAGGCGCCCGGTGACGAAGCAGTTGCTATGCCAAAAAGCAGGAGGGCCGCACACACGGAGTAAACAAGGAGGAGGCCGGGTCGAGCCGAGAGGAAGCAGGAGTGTCAGAACGATGTAGCTGAGGGTGACCGCAGCATACTAACAGCTCTGACAGCGCACACACACACACACACACACACACACACACACACACGATGCACACAAGCAGAGATGACTGCCAGAGATGGGCGAGGGCGATAGCGAATGTGATCATAAGAAGAAAATGTTCTGGAAATGTTCTCGACGTCAAATCCTGTTTCTGAGGCGTTTTCACCCCGAAAGCTCGTGTCAAACGGGGATCTGTGTGTGTGTGTGTGTGTGTGTGTGTGTGTGTGTGAAGCCACAGCATGTCGACACCGTCCTGTGTAACCTGTGAGCTACGACTTCAGGCACGAACACACAAACCGAGGGAACCTTCATCTCCTCTTAAGTCTCTGTTAAATATTCCAAAGTGCATCATGAGAAGAAGAAACGAATCAGGAGCCTCTCATCCAGTCTCACCTGGTCAGCTCCAGTCATCCATCTGCACTTTAACTACAGCATCTTGACTTGTAATCTCTTACGGCACGTGTCGGTGTTTATGTTTTTCTACACATACGCGAAAGAAAAGACAAATGAGTGTAAGTCAGGATGCTAGCTGGTGGTTCTCAAGCTGAAGAAGGTTTATAATCATCCACAGTGCATCCACTGGTAGCTAGAAGTCCAGCCTCTGCAGGGTTCAGCTGCCATGTCATGAGTTTTCTAGTGAGATTAAAGTTTCAGGTGGACCTAAAATGATCATTATACTAACATTTAAGCATGACAGATGGGTGAAGCCACGGTGACGTCATTGCCTGAGGATGTTACTCATGGTGATACGCTAGAGGCTGAAACATACTCTGTTCTGTCTTCTGTTTTATCCTAAATGGCGTCATAATTTACAAAATGAACACCGTGCTGTCTTAAAGGAGGCTTGAAACTAGTAAGTAAGACCATGAACTCAATTGGAAAAAGTGTACTTAGCGAATAAATCAAGTGAGAAGTTGGATCAGTTTTTAAGTTTTGCAAACCAGAGGAGTCGCCCCCTGCTGGCTGTTTGAAAGAATGCAGGTTTTAAAGCATCTGGATTCATCTTTTATCTACAGTCTGAACATCAAACATGGTAGTTGTAACCACCTAAACCTAATCATAGTAGTCAATAATCAGCTAACGTGGTGTGAGCCTGATGAACAGTTTAGTTTTATAGCTAATCTGTGTTCCCTGATGACAGGACGACCATTCGTTTTAACTTTAAAGAATCATTACGCTATACTTCAGGTGATGTAGGGACACATAATCTAGCATATAACCATTTAGAAGCAGGTGTTCACTTCATATCCTCGTGAGAAAACACAGTAAAACGCTCTGATAACACACAATCAGCAGAATCGTAACAAGGAACCTGTATAAGAAGCTTTCATGAGAACACAGGGAGGCACAGACACAAGTGAAACGTCCCAGAAAAGTTTCTGACGATCAACTCGTTATTTCTGTGAGCTCCACGTTCGTCACCCGACCCTCCTGGAAGGAACTGGACGTGGTAATGAGACCAGCAGAAGATTGTAGGATCGTTTATGGGCCCACACTGGAGCTGTGGACGACAGAGTCAGATGGTGACTCATGTGAAGGGAGATTCTGTGATGCACACTGGGATTATAAAAATACACAACTCCTGCGTCTCTTGAGACCGACTCGGTTTGTTGTGTGCAGTTTACAGTAAACCTACGAGTGGACGGAGACGGTTTTAGTCAGAAGATCTTCTAAATGCTGCTCTGTGGGTCGGGCTAACTTTGGTCGTCGAGTATCAGTGAAACGATGAGTCACACAGACGTCATCTATCAGGGCAACGAGCGAGAACTCCCGGCAGCTTTATGAAAAACAAAAGTGATGTTTACATGAATCATTTAAAAAGTTTTTCCTAATTTGCTAACTGCATCACAAAACATACACCGCTTTGTGCCTCTTCTTATGTAAAAGCAGCCTAACATGCAGCAGGTTGACAAAAACGGCAAAAAATCAGATTTTTTTGGACAGATGTCTGCGTAGCGAAGCAGCTAACACTCTCATGATGCTAACAAGGCTCAGAATTGTCTGGTTTATGTTTGACGTTATGACAAACACAGATTTTTCGTTTAAAAAATCTAAAGAATTCACATTTATTTCAGAAACCTGTTTGGATTTACTTGCAAAGTTGAAATCGTGAGCCTTTTTTAGTGTTTCGGAGGTGATTTCTGCTTATTCAAGGGAATATTTGATTTGTTTTAGCATCTAATCGTACATATGAATGGACAGTTTGAAGCAGACAGACAGACAGAGTGCAGATTTAAAGGGAGCCAGTGTGTTTCTCTCCCGCTTAAACAACTCCGAGCAGCGAGAAACAAGTCAAATAATACCGACGTGTCCTCCAAAGAGACAAACTTTCAGATTTACTTCCCTTCAGTCTAATTTCCCATGACTCTCACTTTTACAGCTGTCACGGAGACGACTGCTCCCCCGAGAACGACGCAGATGTCACCGAAGGAAAATGTTTTCAGCGGCACATTTCCAGCTAAACGTCGCCAGTGTTTTCTCTTTTCCCACAGAAGTTATTTGGAGATGAAATCGGGTGCATTCTGGAGATCTGAACAGCCGCCGCACGCCGGTTCATTTCCAATAAGGGCTCATCTTGAGGGCTAATCGATTTAATTTTGGATTAGTTTTCAGTGAAGTTTCATATTGAAGCCATGAAGTCTGCGGCTGCAGCCGACACGCTGACAGCTCGTCGTAATTAACCTCAACACAGACGACCTTTCAGACAATCATCGGTTATTCTGCGAACATGATCGGCACTGATTGCTCCTGTGATTAATTGACCTCACAGCCTTCAAAGTGGTTGTTTTGCCTGAACACAGATATTTACTGTTTGTGACGCTGGACTCGGTTTAGGTTCTGCTCCATGTTGATCAGTCAGCTTGTCTGTGCGACCACATCACAGTTTGACTGGAGAGTCAGCAGCGTTTCAGAGGCCGGATGCCAGTCGTCTGTGTTTACACGCAGCCGTTTAAACACTTTGAAGCCTCGGCATCGCGCCGGTCCAGGCCATCAAACATTCATGAGCAACTCTCGGTACAAACGCTTCTAAGGCAAGATTCTAGAAACATTGCGCTCTCTGGCCCGGTTTTGTCCAGCGTGAAAGCGTCGTTTAATATCGCTGCAGTGACTCTGAATTGGTATTCTCACCTTTACTGTCAGAACAAAGCAGCAAAAGGGGAACTTTAAGCTGCACCTTCACCAAAATCCTCATAAGAATCAAGCCCAGATGCTACCGGTGAGCTGTTCTGTCGCACCTGTGACGTCGAGCGGTATGAACTGGGCCGGCGTGCGTCTTCCCAGGTGCCAGCGGGGCTTCTCGGCGACGGGCGGCCCGGTGGTGGCGGACGTGGCGGTGCTGCTGCTGCTGTTGTTGCTGCTCCAGCCCAGCGGGGGGCGGTCCGAGCTGCAGGGGGACGGGGACGGGGAGGGAGACGGGTCGGTCACGGACCTCAGGCCGAACACCGAGGAGGCGGTTTCATCTTCGTAGAGCTGCTTGGACGCCGGCTGGAGGAGGAAGAGGAGGAGGAGGAGGAGGAGGAGAGTTAAATATGAAGCCAAATAATAAGTGTGGCGATGATGCTTCAGGTCGTCTGATATAATCATGATTTATTTATTATCTGAATAAACACAGTAATGCATAAGTGGAATATCAGTGGAATAAATCAAACCAGCTGAAGAAGAAAAAGAAAAGGAACAAAACTTTGGTCATTTACAAGACTAGAGGAGTCGCTTTCAGTCGGGACTTTTTGTTTAATTTATTTAAAGGTGTTCAGATTCAGAATCAGCTTTAATCAGCACACAGAAGGAAGGAATCTGGTTTCAGCTGTTCAGGTGTCACCCCAGGAGTGAGCAAAGAAATAACAGAAATAGGAAAATAAAAAATAATAATTATCTATAGAAAGAAAAAATAATAAGATAACAAATATATACAAGAATGTACACATCTGAGCAGAACAAATGTCTACATTTGTTTGCAGTAACTCATTTGTCAGCGATTTTAAAACCTTTCTTTACAAAATCAGAGACGTTTTTGCAGTTTTCTCCATTTTCATTAAACTATCAAACACAGCTAACGACATAAAGTGAGAAGAATAGTTCTGCCTGGTACCACATTTCTAAAAATCTGTGTTTTTTGGTCAGTTTTCTTCTTGTTTTTAAACAATTTCTGTGATTTTCTGATTAAAAAAAGGACGTTTTCGTAGCGATATCCTACATTTTTATCGAGCATTGTTTGGATTTACTTGTAAAGTTGAATTTGGGAGCATTTTGTAGTATTTAGGAGGTGATTTCTGTGATTTTTAGATTAAAACAGGACATTTTTGTCGCTATATCCATCATCTCCACTTTGATTCAGTCTTTTCTTACATGCTGTACTTTACATTCAACTTTTTATTCTAAAGTTCTTGTTTCCATTTAATGGTCCGGTTATTTTGAAAATCAGACAATATGTTGTTTTTTTTTTTTCAGTGGCTCAAACACATAAAAATAAATTCAATTGAAGCAAAAATCAATACGACCAAAAAGAAGCTGTCGGAGGAGGCCGCCGGCGGAGGTCATCGTCTAATCTGCCTCCTCAGAAGGAAAATGTTTTGTCCTCTTTAAGCGGCTTCAGGATCAATAAAGCAGATAAGGAGTCAGGAGGGTAAGAAACAGAGATTAACAGAGAATAAGTGTTAAAAACATAAAGAGCGCGGCTCTCGTTTCCACCTGTCCTGGAGTCAGAGAGACGATGCAGGGAAGAGAACAGCGGTTTGGACTGTTAAAGACGAAGGGAAAGTGAAATATGAGATGTGATCTGATGAGCCGGCGGGGACAGGAACCACTGGTCCGGTCCTGCTGAACAACAAGGTGTAATCTCAGCTGGGAGGAACGGACATCTGTCAGCTGTCTGCTATCACAGAGCCCTGAAGCAAGGCAGCGAGACGCAGAGCGCTGCTGCAGTCCTCCGTCATCGACCACGTGGCTCCACCGTAGACCATCTACAGCCAGATTCATACTGAAATCGTCCCAAACATTAACTCGCTGAAGGAAGCCATGCTGCAGCCATCTTGCAGTGAGATCACTGCGGGGGTCCATCAGGCCAGCAGGGGAATAGCCTGAGAGCGATCAGCAGCAGAGGAAACAGAAGAACCGGCTGCAGAGAATGAATCGTTTTGAGACACGTTAACGTTGAGCAAACCCCTAAAACTCCTGTTTACATCCGTCAGTACGGAGCCGCCTGACTAACAGCGCTGAAGTCATCTTCTATTTTGATTTCTTGTGAAGTATTAACGATATTTCCATCTGGAAGACGCTAAATCATTTGGCATTTGTTTATAGAAACCTGCTGAGAGCGTGAAAGGGACGATGACTAATTGTGGCGGGTGTGGAGGACGGCGAGGGAGACGCTGCACAATCGTTTATCTGGCTTCAGTCTTTTATGTGAACGAGACGATCACAAAAGCAAAGAGGCGTTTTGTCACAACACGACTTTTAGCGGCGAAACTACTCGTGAAACTGAAATAGTAATTTGTTGGATTCTGGGGGGAGGAGTGATGCGGCTGCATTGTGCTGCTGATTGAAACTACGAGACTCCTTCAATAAAGGCACTGATACGTATGTGCAGCACGGATAAAGTTCCCCGTCCTTCATCGTCCTGCGATCCTCAACGGTTCCGCTGTGGCTGATACGCACATAGATTTAAATAAAGTTTGCTTTGTGTTTGTGAATCATGAGACCGTCCTCAGAGCCTCATCATGAATCAGTCGTTGCTGTGTGATGAAAGTCCATCTGTTTGTGATGATGTTCCTGAGATGTGACGATCAGCACAGTTAGAGCAATAAGGACGAACGTTTCATGAACGTTCTCACGCTTTTAGAAATCATCAGACAGGAAGTAAACAAGATTCACACAGTCGACCCGAAGACGTGAATGAAATAAGCCTCGATGCTGAAGATGGTCTTTCTGAAGCCGTTACGGAGGCGGTTTGATCAAACTACAAACCTTCTCTTCTATATTCTCTCTGTTCTATTTATTATTCCAGATATTAAACTTTGTCTCTCGTTCTCGTAGAAACTCTTAAAAAGTGTCTCATGTGAAGAGTCTGCTCAACGCTTTTTACTCATATATGACAGACTTTGAACCAAATCACAAATTAACCTCAATAAATTTGAATGTTGTGACTAAAACCCTCCAGTATTATATATAATAATACAAGTTTACCTGAATTATTTAAATATGTTTACGGGTAAGAACCTACTTTTATAAATGTGGTGTATTAAAATATATTATAGATATTTATTTTTACTTTACTTTATTTTATTTTATTTTATTTTATAAAAACTAGCCTTATTTCTTGAGGGGAGCAGCTCACCCCAGTTTATATAATATGAATTTACCTGATTAATTTAAATTTTTTTTATTTATTCTTTAAATCAAGACCCAACAATATCATAAATGATATAAGTTGACTTGACTAATTTAAACATTATGCTTCAGACTCGACAATAACATATATACAAATTTAACTGACCAAATTAAATATTAAATTTAAGAACCTACAATAATATGTAAAATACTAGTTTTTCAGAAAACTTAAATTTTTAAG